GCAATTTAATGATTTCCAGCCGGAATTTCGATGACGCCGGGAGTACGGGACGAGGAGACCGGGGAAGAGGAAGAGAGGAAGGGAGGGGGGAGGAGGGGGCGAAGCGGGAGATGGGTGAAACGCGAGGCCGGAAGAGAGAATGAGCGAGCACGGCCGCGAGTTGGTCAGGGCCGGCTCGTTTCCGCTCGCGAATTCCCGTGCGAGGGATGGATGGTGGGAAAGAGGGAAAGACAAAGAGAGTAGAACGAAGGAGAGAAACAGAAAGAAAGAGAGAGGAGAACGAGAGAGAGAGAGAGAGAGAGAGAGAGAGAGAGAGAGCTCGAAACAAGAGAAAAGACGCTCGGCCGTGAGCGAGATGGGACGTAAATTTTCTAGCGGTGCGTTCATTTGTTCGTTGAACGAAATGCGAATGCATTATACATGGATTGCAGGGGACATTAATTTTCTGCCGTAGACGTGTAGTGGGCCGCGCGCGCGGCAGGGCGGTAGGGCCGTGCCGGGCCGGGCTGTGGACTGTGCGAAGGGGGTGGTCGAGCGCGAGGGGGTGGGTGACCGTCCACCCGGCATATAACATTCACCGGGGGGGGTGCGAGACCCGGGGCGCACGGGTGTACGGGGACGATCAGCACACACCAGCGGTCAGACCGAGGTGGTGGAAAGGTGGTGGAAAGGAGGGAGGTGGCGATTCCACGGGCTGTTTCGTGCTCACACGTCCAACCACGTGCGAGCTTTTGCCGGGCTTTCTACCTATTTTTCGCGTGCCCGGTGATTTTGACGAGTGGTGCAGCGAGATGTATCGGCACCGCGGAAAAAAAATGCGCCGACAATCTCAACAAACAGGCCGGCGGCGCCTGGCGAACGCGAGAGAGTCGCGTAAAGAGTCGCGGTCGGCGTCAAAGGGTTTCGCTACGCTGCGAAAGGGCAAACGGGGTGGGAAATCATTGGGACGTTCTGTCAGAGGTGTTTGATATTCCGAAAATGATTTGCGCCAATGCTAGAGGTAGGGCGACGATATGAGAGAAAAGAGTGAGCGAGAGAGAATTGGAGGGTGTCACAGAGGGAGGGAGGGAGGAAGAGAGAGAGAGAGAGAGAGAGAGAGAGAGAGAGAGAGAGAGAGAGAGAAACTAGAGAGGCAAGCCAAGCGAACGGAGGGAAAGGGAGGGAGGGAGAGCTCGAGGGTAGTAACCGTACGTCAAAATTAAATGTTGAAATTCGTGTAGAATGTCTGGCGCGATAAATTCGTTCGTGCAACAATGATCACGATTTTTAATGGAATAAAATTGAAATTGTCCGGGCCCCGAAATGACGGATAGAATTTATGGCTCGTACGAAAATGCAACGTGGCAGCAAATATTATATTTTACCTATGGCTGTCCAAACCAGATGACGTTTCGAAATGTTAACGCGAGATATCAAGAAAAAAAAAATTCCCGATTAATTACATTTTTTTTTTAGCTTATTAATTCAAAGTTATAGTTTCTCGTCATCAATGATCGTTGCGTAACATCATTGTAACGTTTTTGCCCCATCGCATGTGAGGATGTCCTAGGGCTGAAATTTGAGAGAAGTCCAATGTCGAATGTCGAGATGAATGCTTGCCGAAGTGCACCGATTCATCAAAAGTTCTTTATAATTCGTAATTCCTGCAGTCGGCAAAGGGGTTTCAAAGAGTTGGGGCTAAACCCTTCGACAAGGCAACTTCGAGCGATCCCTTGTCCCTCTCCCCCACGTTGTTCTATCTCTTGTCTTTTCGTTTCGCACGCGAGATTTTAAATTTAATCATAACTCTTTGCAGCTCTCCGTGCGAGACCACGCGAATTATTACAAAATGAGAAGCTATTACATTAAAATGAGGAATTATATTTCATTATTATTTAAAAAAAAAAAATGCATTTCTTCCGATCCGAAATACCGGGAAAATCATCTATTTCTCGGAATACGTCGCTAATCATCAACCGTGTTGTCGCTTTTGTTTAATAAATAAATGAAAACCTAATTATTAACAAAAATTGATTAACTGGAGATTAATATATAAAATCATACTTTATTATATTGCGCATTTACGGATTAACGCCTTAGCGAATGACACGGTCGATTAAACGATAAACGAGGTAGAAAAAAATGAATGCCAACTGCACGCTTCAAATACCAATGCTGTGTACGTTACCGCGAATGTCCTTTTATTATTTTAATTTTTTTTTTTATTGTATCTTTTTTTATCGCGCGAGAATGCTCGGCGTCGTGTCAGCACAACGTTTATCTCGCATAATAGTGCATAGGAAAACTGACTGTTTTCGTAGAAATGAATGACCAGCCGGAGTCCCGTGCGTTCTATGTCATTATTTCCCTTTTATGAACGGGAGAAAGAGAGAGGTGTGTGTGCTCACTTTGTAACCCTTCTCGCCGCGTTTGTTCCTACCGTCGCTACTTCCGGTAACGTCAAGCACACAAAAAAGGCGAATATTACGTATGTGCGAGCGTACACGTGGGCGAGCTCATCGTTCTACAAATAAATGTTTCAACCAGCAATTAAGCGCCGACAATAAGAAACCACTAGGCTTCCCCCCCGAACGCCACTGTTGTTATAGCCGTTGTATTAATACGTTTTTAATTGTAGCGCGACAGAAAACATACGGTCTTGGGCGAAGGAGGGAAAAGCCAAGTGTCCCTTCATAAAAATTCCAATAGCACCATTTCTAACGTTCTTCCTGTTTTGAACAAGACCATCCTTATTGCATAATTAAACATTTTCTACATGTAAAGGAATACTTTGTTTTGACATGCGTAACGTAAAAAAAAAGAAAAAAAAAAAAGACTTAGTCACTCGTGAAGCGATCGAGACCGCACGTTTCCTGTCGTAATTAATACATATTGATACACCGGCTGTAACATCAGCAAAATCGGAGACAAAGTCTAGCTGAGTTTCTTTTATATGCACTGAGAGAAAAACGTATTAAATTTTAATAAATTTTAATTTATTTGAATAGCGTTAGTTGAATATTTAAATGTAAACATATATTTATTTGATACAAGAATCATTCATGTGATTTATTGTATCGTTTATTTAGCAAATATATTTCCCGTAAATAAATGTTACATTAGTACTGTTTAAACAATTATTAATAAAAATTTAACACATTTTTCTCGCAGAGTATCGATATTTCGTCAAGATGTATAATCGTCAGTTCGAGAACGATACGTGATGATAAGTGATCGATTAAAATTCGCATTCTAAAAAAGTATTGAAAAGAATTTGCACGAGTACGAATATCCGCGGAAGTGGATTCTTATCATAAATAAGTTAACACAAATATGGCAAGGCGTTCTACCTCATGTGAAAAGCTTCGCGGATACAAAGGTGTCTTCCTCCCACTGCACTCATTTAAGGTGGGAAATAAATACGAACGATCAGCTCACTCGCTTCCCTCAGGAAATCGTTTCCTTTAATAACAGACTTACCGGCGCTGTACCGTCATTTTAAAATCCAACTACTTTTATCGTGTATCGCACGCAGGGAAGCTTCCATTATCTTTCGTGGCAAAAAAAAAAAAATCGTACGTTTAAAAATGCATCTCGTTGATCGCGTTTTGTTTTTACGCTCGGAAGTTTCAAATGCCAGCGCGCGATAAAAGATTGCAGAATCTAATTTTGCTCGCTCGAGTTATTTTTATTAAATCGAACACGATGAAATTCTCCGATGAATCACGCGACTGAATAAAAGATGAATCCCGTAAAACGACTGAGAGTAAGAGGAAGAGGTAGACGGGAGAGAAAAAGAGAGCGAAAGAGAGGTAAAGAGGCTAGAGAGAGCGAGAGAGCAGAAGGAACAAGTGCCCGGGGTAAAAAGGATTGGGGAAGAATGTCGATATTAATAAAAGTTAAATTGAGCCAATCGCTTGTGGGAATTAGAATCGAGCCCACTCGAGACGAACAGCGAGCCGAGCGGAGAGAGGAGAAAAAAGAACGCAATAAAAACGCAGCGGCAGCTGAAGTCTGCCTCTCGAATGCCGATCGATCGAAGCGATTAAACGATCGAGAGGCTACTTTATCATTATTACGCGGGGGGCGGGAGGGCCGCTTAAATATTCGTATTTTGAAGCAAACGGAAATGTTCATAAGACCGTGCGATAAATAACATCGCGCGCATTTGTATGGAAAATATTCGCGCGTTAGCCTGTGTCTAATTTGCGCAGTAGCCGGCGCCGTCCGCGCCTTTCTGCCGCCTGTGGAGAGCGGAGAGAAAAATGCGGTATTTTTCTTCCCACCTACTCTTCGATGTAGATGTAGAAACCTGTTGCATGCCCGTAAAAAAAGTCCCGGGAAAAAAAGTCGAGTCACTGACCAGCCAATTCACTTCCTAAGCGCGTTTTTCCACATAGCTTCTACCTTTTAAGAACGAGCCGAGTGCGGAGTGAGAGACATACTTGGCGAGCTGACAAACGAGTCATTAATGACGTTTCAATCTCTTCATCAATCTTCGTCGCACCGGACCGCGAGGACAAAGTTAATATTGAATGTACGATACGTTAAATGGATGATACCCACTCTTACACGCCAATCAAAAGTAAACGGTATAAACGGCTTAGGAAACATGAATACTTTATGCGTGATTACGAATAATAGGAAAGCACCGCCGACCACTTAGGAATAGGTACAAATATGATAATCCATCGAAACGTGAAAATTTTGTATGCGAAAGATAAAACTTGTTAAAGTTACTAATAATTTGTAGTTAATATTATAAAGCTTGCATGCATTACCACGCATGGGGATAATCGATGGATTGAAAAAGATTAATGGAAAAAGATTTATTCACCTTTCGATGGAGAGGTAGAATTTGGAATTTCGATCTCTAGGAAAATTCGCGTGGCATGACCGGTGCGAAATTCCCGATCGAGCGTGTACGGGGCCGTTACGTGTTCCACCGTAACACAATTTACGTACGCTCGCGCACACAGCCGCACGAAATTCTAATATGCCTTACGCCTATCTGATCGCAGGTGAACGACCGTACAAGTGCCATTTACCGGACTGCGGGCGGGCCTTCATCCAACTGTCGAATTTGCAGCAACACCTGAGGAATCACGACGCTCAGGTGGAGCGGGCGAAGAACCGGCCGTTCCACTGCAACATCTGCGGCAAGGGTTTCGCCACGGAGTCCAGCCTCCGTACCCACACGTCGAAGGTCAGTCATGTATGTACCAAATCCGACGTCCAACTCGCAAATTCGCTGATACGCGGTGCCGGTAATTAACCGAAGGGATCGGAATTAAAAACAAAAAAAAAATGAAGGAAGGATCGATCGATTTCGGTGTGTAATTTCGCGCGTTCTCATATACTTCCGCTATACAATCGCTCTTCTAACGACCGAAATCTTATATTAACTCTTTCTCGCGCGACACGTTACTCGTTACTCTCGTACGCACGCATATATGGTGGTGGTGGGTTCACGCTTGCCTCGATACTTTGTACAGATGGATTCCCCGTTTAAACGCTCTTTGTCCGCCGTTTCCTTTGTTCCGTTTTCGAAGGCTCCCTATATATATATATATATATATATATATGTATAATTGATGTCAAGTCTCAAGCAACTTAAAACACAGTCGTCGTTGAAGATACGACGGACATGTCGGGCTTAAACGCATAACCGGCGAACATCAAGCTTGCGAATAGAAAATTCAGATCCAAGCACGTCCCAAACCTAAATAATCGCGCCATGATTATTTACTTTCCTTCTCTCTTTTGTAGATAGCGTATATTTATTTGACCAAAATAACAGTATATCAAGAGCTTTGGATAATTCCTCTGGGATCCTTCGCGGGGTGCTTGGGCTTGCTTTTGCCTCTGAATTCTCATACGGCTGCTTGTCATCACGATATCAACATTACATGATCAATCGATTCGAGGAAATCGAAAAAAGATCGTCGCTCGAATTCATAATAACAATTACAGCGATCCTCAAAAGCAGAGACGACAGGACGGAACTCGAAGAAACTGATCACGCCAAATAATTAAACGTCCTTGATAGAGATCCGATCAGCATAAATTGTCACGAGGGGCGAGAAGCTCTTTGACGCAGTGCGTCTTTACAAGCGACATAGACCGGAAGATTTTCTCATACAAGTCACCGTGAATGAACAATCGTTGTTTACACACACGCACGAGCTTCACGGTGGCCAAGGGTGCGTGGCACCGACCGGTTATTAGAGGGACAGAGGTTTAAAAAAAAAAAAAACGCGGTCTGATCTGAGAAAAAGACCACGACCCCCGTGCCCGTTAATCGAATTCACCCCTCGCTCGCGTGGAATCGCGGCTCGCAGCGATTACCGGCGGAATCTTGTATCGTGGGGCAGTTTTTTGCCGCCACCGCCCCACCCAGCCGGCAACTGAATTTCTCAACCCTTTCGCCTTCCGCGCCGGGCACATGTCTCGACGAAAAAACGTGGGAAGGCATCTGTCGGCCTGTACGCAAGGCGCTCTTATCCTTCCTCCTCCCTCTCTCATTCCTCTCCTTCGTCTCTTCCTTTTCTTCCTCCCCCCTTTCTCTTGGCCCCCTCCCGAGGAAAGACGTCATGCATACTTTCTTCCAATTTACATCATATTACGTAACGATTCGTAATATAACGTTCCGACTAAATGCGTTTGCCGACGATCGCGTGGATACTTTTACTGTGTAAAAACCCCCAAATTAAATGTCAGGCAATCTAATGTTCAAAACGCGTAGATCATCGTCATCTTTCGAGACGTTCGATTTTCACGAGTTTTCGCGGAATCAGGTGCGACGCGTCCTGCAGGCTTATGCAAGCTTAATCCGTTCACACGTCGGATGCCCTGGCAATAAATATCGTTCTTTTAACGCCCGGCTCCTCTAATTGAAACCTAATCCACGGGCTTAAAGCCTTCAGATTATCCTGTTACCCCGTTTCCCCCGCACGGCCCCGATAAATCACCCATGGAATCATGTCGACGGCGCCCCCGCCTCGTCAGGCCTACCAATTTTTTTTCCCCTTCTAAAAATGCGCAGTTACGAAAGAATGAACTGACGTATAATGACGACCCCATTACTGCCACCGGGCGGTATTTTTCTTTTTCTTTCCAACGCACCATGCCGATAATCCTCGCACTAATGAGAATAATTTTTTGCAGTCGAGTTATTTGACCCTTCGCTTTTTTACGTGCGTATAACGGACGGCCTTGATGAGTTTTCGAACGGTAGGGCCTAACCCTGTGCGAAAGCATCTCTTCCTGAATAGCTCGGCTTATGCGCGCGAGATCGATACATCGAGATTAAATACTAATACGAAGTATGCAGCAAAACGTATATCGAGCTACGACGAGATCCCGCGAGAACGGCGGCGTTGTCCAGACTTATCGGCAAAAACATCAGGATGCACGTAGCTCGCGTTAAACGGGAGGAAGAAAAACCACGGGAAGCGAGGAGAAGAAATGGAGAAGATGCGGAAGAGCGGGAGGGAGGAAGGGAGAGAGAAGATCTTACGGCGAGCGCAGCGCGGCGAAGTAATTAAAAGCCGCCGGCGCGAGCGCGAGCGCGAGCGCGCGACAGAAACAGAGTAACCGCCCGCTGGAAATAAAACGGAACGAAACAAATGGAGAGCTCGAGCCCATCTTCCGCGGCTAATCGAATTTTCGCCGGGGCAGATTTCTTGAAATTGTTTTCGCTATTTCAGACCGCCTAGCCACCCCACCCCCCTCCCCCGTCTCCTTCGCGCCGGGCTTGCTACTCCCCTCCCCCTCTCCCCCTCCTGATGGCTAATGGATCGTTGTTTAAACGAGAAAGAAGAAAAAAATAAAAAAAACCCAGCGAGAGAAACAGAGAAAGAGAGGAAAAGCAACCGGAACACGAGATAGCTCGAAAAACGCAGAGAAAGCGAGACAACGAGAAGAAAGAGGAACGGCTCACGGAAGTACGTGGTGGAGAGTAAAGGGGAAATGAAAGAGTTACGCTCCAGGTCGAGGCCTGGCGTGTCGGCGAAACATTATCCCGCTAAGAAAGACAATACACCCGGAGTACAATATTATAATAGGCCGGAGCGTAAATGTATTATAGAGAACGATCGGTAGCCCGGGCATAGAAACTCGTCTATGGTACCTACACACCTCCTCCTCTTCTCCACTTTCTACCTCCTCGTTCTTCTCTCTCTCTCTCTCTCTCTCTCTCTCTCTCTCTCTCTCTCTCTCTCTCTCTCTCTCTCTCTCTCTCGGTGTACCTATTAACTTGCCCTCTTCCCGCTCGGCTCGGAACAGGGGCGGATCATCCAACGATACACGATGTCGCGATATGTCACTGGTTAATACCCTGCTCTTAAATTTCGCGCTGTCAAACCACGTCGAAATTCCCCCCCCCCCCCTCGAGACGAAGTCTCGGATCGAGATATAAATTAGAAAATCTCCCGATTTAGTAATACAATTTTCTCTCACGCGAGTACGAGCTCTTTCCCCCCCCCCCTCCTTTTATCTTGGACATAAGACTTTTACTTCGGAAGATCCGTCCAAACGCGACGTAAATTTGACCGTAAATTTGACCGTAAACGAGAATGCAAAATTATGAAACATTTCGCGAGAGAGAGTCTCGCGAATCTGGCCAGCCCTGATCTCTCTTTCACCCTTTCTTTCTCCTTCTCGCGGCTCTTGGCCACTTTCACGTGGCGCACAGCCTTCGTATTTATCCGTAGTTTAGCCGTACAAGGGTTGAATGTCGTGCAACACGATACAATCCCCCCCGTTTTCTACCACCTCGTGGACCTCTTCCTCGCATATCTTCCGACCTTCTTCCGACTCACCTCCAGGGTGTCTTCCTGTCATCCCTCCGTTCTCCCCGGACCCTCCTCCACCCCTCTTCTTAATTGCCCCGGCGCGCGGCTCGGTAAAAACTCGTTAGCCATTAGATTTATTTTCTCTCGCCACGGAGATTCATCCCTCTCCCGTTGCTGTATTAAAAACCGCGCGGTGGTCGTATCACGTTTAACGCTGCATATTTTTTCTATTTTTTTTTTTTCTTTCCCACATGCGCGATTCTCGTTGACCGCGTACGGATTGATCGCCTGCAATAAATGTAAATCTGTTTGCGCGTGGGATGGAGGTGATTTTACCCGTTTATCACTCCGTATTTTCGCCAACACGGAGCGCTAATTAATTACCGTGCTCGCGGTATTTACGCGATGTTTTTTTAATTTCTTCCGCCGAGAGCGTGCGCACACGATCGGGGGAACACTCGTGGAAAAAGTATGAACACTCCTGAAAATCTAAACCTATGACTGACGATTTAATGGTATCACATTAATTCAAATTGATCTCCATTTCATGCTGGTCTCTTTGTCGCAGTGTTCGAAGTACCCATGGCAACGATTAAAGGTAAAACGATCGGGTCAATATATGGGAAAGCCTATGGGAATTCCTTTCGGCTGTAATTTCAACTCGTTCCGCGGCGCGTTTACATGCGCACTCGTTGCACCTGTAAAATTGTATTATCTCCGATTTTCATTATAATGATCCATTCGCGCGAAACACGCACACGCATGTACATACATATACGCACATCCTCCGACAGTTACGTAGTTTTCTCGAAATGCGCGAAATTATGATAGCGTTATGGCGCGAAATTATATAACGGCGCTTCGTATATTTTTTCGTGCGTTTGATACACGATATCTATTTAATTAACGGCGCGTCACGTGAAATTCTACATTGCAGAGAGAGATGATTATGTAGACAGAGTATCGCGCCGCCTGATTGATCTCGCGTCGCGAAGACTGTGAAACGATTATAAATCCGGCTCTTGTTCCTTTTTTTTCCTACGTCACGATCATGAGTATGCAATTCATTAATGTCTCATATCGCGGCAATCATAATAGCAACAGTCATAGAGATGTATGATGACGTATGATCACCGAAGAGCGTAACGCAAACGCTTTCGCCTGTCGATCGCGGCTAATTGCTGCCTCTTAATTTCGGAACGCTCTCCTAATTGAGCAAGGTTCGCACCACGCTCTCCTCTTCGAATATCTCCCCTCCCCTCCCCTCCCCACCCCTCCCTCGGATTCCCAGTACGATGTCTTTCTCTCTCTTTTTTCGTCGGTAAACATCACCGGCTGGCGAATCTCCAGAAGGACTTTTCACTCTTTGTCTCTTTTGCGGCATTAAAATAGAAAAGTGGGACGGTCTTTCGCGGTATAACCTCTCGGTTCGCTCTTACGAGATATGTTGTACTGTTTCGCCATTTTTTTTTTTTTCGCGTCAATCTTTCTTGCCGCAATTTTTCGCGTTTATTTCAATTTCTTTCACGTACAACGAAAAAAATATCATTGTAAATATCTCTTAAAATATCTCTCTACACTTATCACGATTTTCTTCGATTATTCTTATGATTACATTAAGTTGGATTATTCTTATGATTACTTTGTGTAGTTTTCATTTTCCGATCGCGCGCTTCGAGCTTTCCTTCTCTTTCTCTCTCTCTCTCTCTCTCTCTCACACACACACCCCGTAGCATTACTTTTTTCGACCCCGCCTTCGCCACTCTTTCCGTCTCTATTTTTTTCTCTCCACGTTCGATCACCAGCGCGGACACTAATGAAATCATTCCCGTGGCGTTCCCGATAGGGTGGGATTTGTACCCCCATTGTACCGACGCCCCTTCACGCTCCTTTTTTTCCGCTCGCCTAGTCGAACGCGCTCGGGGTCGATCCGAGTCCTCCTATTGGCACAACACGGAGGGTGCTGCGTCGACAACCCTCGTAGCGTTAGGTAGATTCGCTTTTTTTCTCCCTCATTCTCGCCTCGCTCGTCAGCGACTGATTTTCACGTACGTGTGTTACGCGCGAATTATCAATGCGCGATTCTTGGAAGTGGATTAATAATGCGGGGTGGCGATGAAGAACGGTGACTAGCGACGCATGTTTAATTCTTATCGATCGCATACGTTTTTCATGTGATTTTTTTGCACGCCCGCAGAAACGAAATGGTTACGAAGGGGCTAATTCGTGTAACTATTTAAAAGTCTCTGAACACGATTACGATTGTCGCGGGAAAATTATTCTTGAGCAAAAGCAAAAAATATCAGAATTCTCAAAGATACTTTCGATGTCTTTTATACATCGCTGTTGAACTTTTGCGTTCTTGTTTGTGTTCTTCTCATCGTACGACCGAAAGCTCCGAAAGCAGCTATGAGTCAGACGCGAACGGAGAAAGGAAATCAAGAATTTCTGGTGCCTTCCTTATCGGGAGACAAAGCGTTCTCGTCTCGAGAAAATAACGTTCGCGCGAACGAGCGAGCGAGCCGCGGAGCGAGGGAGAACGTGCTCTTTCTTTCGGACGAGAGAAAAGGAGGAGACGAGCAAGCCGGTGAATATCTCTTAGCGGATTTCGCGAGCCGCGCTGGAGCCGAACGAACAGCCGAAGTATCGTACCGAAGGTTGTCTGCCGGCGAGTCTCGCGGCCTCGTCACTGCTAAAAAAGCCAAGGAAAGACGGCGGCGAAGAAAAAAAAAAGGAAAGAAGTAACGACGGGAGGGCGGGAGAAAAGAATTGCGCACCGAGCGCAAAATGGCCTTCGGATTTTATCGCCGCCCGAGGAAAAGAGAGGAGCTCGCATATTGTCGATTATCATCCATATTTAGCATACATTTTTTAATTATAAATAACTAACAATTCATAAAGCCGTCGAAAGAAATCACAAAGTTTGAGAAAAGTAACCCACCCAACAATAAAAGAATAATTAAGATATGAGAATAAAGAATAATTAAGAATGCATAATTTTATCAGCATATTAATAGCTCTGGAGATTAATCTCGATTAAAAATCTTACATGAAAATGTTGAGGTCGTAATTATTTTTTGGCTATAAACGATCGAAGTTGACTGATTTCGTAAAGTTCTTGCATACAATTAGCTTCATACGATAAGCTAACACAATTAAAAATTTGCTGCTACAACTAAAAACTAGTTGCTGCAGCCATAAAAATCCTATGCCATATTTTACCATCTAAATTGTAGCAGCAACCAATCCTTTCTTTCAGTGTTCCTTTATAGATTATCATTTGTGTATATTTTTTTAATTTCTTAATACACAATAAATATTATAATAATAATAATAATAA